AGCGAAGAAGAAGGTGAAGAAGAAGACATGCCCCCCCTTCCCTATCAGATTGTAATGGATTGCTTTGAAATAATTTCAGCAACAGATTGGGGGAGGGGGGAATCACCCCCAACTGCCCTGTATTTTGCCAGAACAAGGGTAGTAACCCTACTTTATGGGGTCCCATGAAGCAGAATCTGCAATGACCCCAGCGCATTACAGTTTTGGGTTTTTTTGCGGGGGGCGGGGGCGGAACACTGGCTGTTCAAGGGTTAAAGGCAGCGATTACATTGCTAGAGAGGACTTCCTGGGGAAGAGGGGAAGCGTCACTTCCTACCTTTGTTACATTTGAAAAGCTGCGCGGGAGGAGATTTTGCATCGCTAAGACTGTGCCTTTTGCAAGGTAGGAAAAGAGGGATATATTTGGGGGGGGAGGGGGCTCCCGTGCCAGAGCAGGAGAGAAGCCCTCTGGGAGAGGAGCATGCATGGGGTTGCACCCCACAACTGAGCCTCGAAAGAGCTGCGGGGGGAGCAAAGGACCTCGAGGGCTGCAGGGGCGCCCCAGGAGGAGAGCAAGGCAAGAAGGCGAGGCGGGGGGGGGAGGGAGTTGTAGGGTGGGGGAGGAAACCCCCCCCAAAAGGAAAGGGGGCAGGATGGCTCTGGGGAGAGGAGGAAGGAGGCATGGATGTTTTGGAAAGAAAGGGGTCGAGTAGAGAGGGCAGGATTAGACCAAAGGGGGGGGGTCTTGGATCGGGGGCTTTCTGCCTGCTGAGGAGATGCTCCGCCCTTGAGCTACAGCCCCTTCCCTTAAAGTGGGGCTGGGGAGAGGGAGGAAGTGGGGGGGGGGTGTCAGCCCTGTCGCAGCTCCAGGCTGGCAGAGAGAGAAGGAAGCCAAAAAAGGAATGTTTTAAATGTTGGTGGGAAGAAGATCCCCTTTCAGGCATGACTCCACTTTCCTTGCATGGTGGGGTTCAGGAGGGGGGACACTCCTCTTTTATCATGGGAGCTCCACACCTAGGCAGGCTTATCATTCACTAGGAAAATATCTTGGGTGGGGAAAAGCCTGCAGGCCCTCTGAGGCTGGCTGCCTTTGCTTCTTCCTCCCTCCCAGGAACCTGCGGCTTCTGAGCTCCCCAGGAAGGATGGAAGAGGCTGATCCCGCGAACCTAGCGAGGATGGAAGGGGGAAGATGGACGGTAGACCTGGTCAGGTTGTCTCCTGCATTCCTCCCAACGGCCTCCAAACTTTCCCTCCCAGGACCCTCAAAGAGATCTGGTGAGTTGCAGGGAATGGAGATGGGGACCTTGGGAGATGTGGGGGGTGAAGAAGCTCCCCTGGCAAGAAAACAAGGAAGGCTGCAGGGGCAGAGCTCTGGGCTAGCAGAGATAAAAGGTAAAAACAAAGGAAAGGAATGATTTAATGGTGATGTGTACAAGATTCATTTTCATGCGTGACTCCTTTCGTCTCTGGTGGGGGATCAGGAGAAAGACACCCCACTTTTACCATGGAAACTGTGACTGGGAGCTCCACGCATAATGAGGCTTCCACAGCCCCCTTAGGATCTGCTTTCAGGTCACTAATATGCCTACCAATCCCTGAGGGCTGGAAGGAAGACAGCTCCCTGGTGCAAGGCCCATTTCCACCTGGCCTAGGGGGTGGAGCCCAGACTCACCTTGAACAGCCTAAAGAGGCTCCTGGGAGGCCACTGGGACATTGCTGGAACAAATCTCGGGTTGGGGCAACTGGCTAAAATGCTTTAAACGGTTCTGATTTTGGTTCCTCTGTTTTGTTTTCGTTGAGTTGGTGTTGGTTAAATGTTTATTTGGGGTTAGTGGTTATTTTAATTTGGGTATAACTGTAAACATGTTGTTGTTGCTATTCTTATTATTGGTTTGTTTGTTGCCTGTATAGGATATTTCTGTTTTTTATGTTTGATGTTTTGTTTTGTCTTTATATATGCTCTTAGCCGCACTGGGTGGCTGTGAGAAGCCCACCAGATTGGGGGATATAAATTTGTAATATATGCCCCATTTGGGCTTCTGCAGGGGCTGGAGAATATCTAGGGCAGAGGAATCCCTGCAGCTTCTCTGAGGCTCCTTTTACTTCTCCCTCCCACCCAAGGAACCTGCAGCTCGTTTAGGCTTCTGAGCTCCTCAGGAAGGATGAAAGAGGCTGATCCTCTTTGACCCTCTTTCTGCTAACACCACCACCTTGAAGATCCTGGGCCCCAGGGAAATTAGGCTGGCCTTGACTAGAGCCAGGGCCTTTTCAGCCGTGGCCCCGGCCTGGTGGACCGCTCTCCCACAAGAGACCAGGGCCCTGCGGGATTGGACATCTTTCCGCAGGGCCTGCAAGACGGAGCTGTTCCGCCAGGCCTTTGGGCAGGATGCAGTTTGACTTACTTTCCTTTGTATAAAACAAGCCCGAAGGAGGCCCCCAACCTGCTCACAGGTCCTTGTATGATCAGTGGAAACAGTTGGTCCTGGCAAGTATTAAACACTCTCAATTCCAACCTGATAATTGCCAACTGCTTAGATTTTAACTTGTCTGAATTAATTTTAATATGTATTTTAATTAATTGATGTCTGTTTTTATGCACATTGTGTTGTTTTTATGATGTTAGCCACTCTGGGCCCTGCCTCGGCCGGAGAGGGCAGGATACAAAAATTATTATTATTATTATTATTATTATTATTATTATTATTATTATCATCCTGCAGACCTAGCAAGGATGGAAGGGGGAAGATGGACAGTTGACCTGGTCAGGCTGTCTCCCACCACCTCTGACTGTTCTCTCCCAGGACCCTCAGAGAGATCTGGTGAGTTCCAGGGAATGGAGATGGGGACCTGGGGAGATGTTGTGGGTGAGGAAGCCCCCCTGGCAAGAAAACGAGGAAGGCTGCAGGGCCAGAGTTCTGGGCTGTGAGAGATGAAAGGTAGAAAAGGAAAGGAAGGTTTTTCAGTGGTGGCATGGGCGCAAGATTTTTGGTGGGGGCGGCAGGCCTTTTGTTAGGGGGGCAGCACTGGCATGATTGGCCAGTTAGTTAAGTATTTCTAATGCTTTACTTGATCTGGGGGGCTGCCCCCCACCTCTCCTTGGCTATGCCCATGAATGGTGGTGTGAAGAAAATTCTTTTTCAGAGTATAATGTTGTGTTGGGTCCTGAATCTTCCGACACTCACTGGTATAGCTGCAGCAATTGCCAGATGAGGGACTGAATGGGCTTCATCTCAGTATGGAGACAGATTTCCCCCCAGTTTGCAGCAGCCAAGCTGCCAGGTCAGCAGTGAGAAAATTGTGGGTCATGGCAGCAGTCCCTCTCTAGCTCACGAAGCCATTTCCCTCAAACCGTGTTCTGCTGCCCTACATATCAGAGGTGGGGGGCCAGGATGTGACTGAAAAGGATATGTATCAGGATCCCGAAAGTGCACCGCTGATTGTTCCTTGGCACCTGAGACTTTCTGTCAGATGAAACCTTATGAAACGTTGTCTCTTTCAGCAGATTATGATGCGGCACTTTGGGATCTTCACTAGTTGCAGATCTTGCAAAAATCCCTGTAATTGCTCTTATAAGTCTTATTAGAGGAACGTCTTTTTCAAGAGTGCAAAATGTTTATTCACCAGCTGATGTCGCTGTTTGAGTCACTCCCTCTCTGCGATTTTCGACCCCCTTCTCAATCTATGTCCGTCTATGTCAGTCTTATGCAAATCATTTCCGTTCCTCAAACCAGGAAATGTCAGTCTAAGAAAATGTCGGAGCACGTGAGTCAGCAGAAGTACCGTATTTTTCGTCCCATAGGACGCACCTAGTTTTTTTGGGGGGAAATAAAGGAAAATATCTTTTCCTTTATTTCCCCCGCAAAAGCAGGTCGGGGAAACCGAACATGGTCGAGGAACAGTGGGATGGTGGTGCTGCGCCTCCCTGCTGTCCCCTGAGCTTGTGGGGCTGGCCGATGTCTGCCCGGCGCGAGGGGCGCTCTGCTTCAGGGCACTCCGCCCCCCGGGTGGCATTCTGCTATCCGCAGCGTGGGGAGCCCTGGGGGGAACTCCTGCAGGGCTCCCCATGCTGTTTTTTGTTGCATCAATTAAGTGTTTTAAATTTGTTGTTAGCTGCATTGAGACCGGTTTTCTGAACCAGGAAGGGTGGAGTATAAATAAAAAAATATCTATCTATCTATCTATCTATCTATCTATCTATCTATCTATCTATCTGCAAACCTAGCAAGGATGGAAGGAGGAAGATTGACAGTTGACCTGGTCAGGCTGTCTCCCACCACCTCTGACTGTTCTCTCCCAGGACCCTCAGAGAGATCTAGTGAGTTCCAGGGAATGGAGATGGGGACCTGGGGAAATGTTGGGATTGAGGAAGCTCCCCTGGCAAGAAAACGAGGAAAGCTGCAAGGCCAGAGCTCCGGGCTAGCAGAGATAAAAGGTAGAAAGAAAGGACATGAATGTTTTTTAATGGTGACATGGGCATAGTCAGAGTTTTGGGGCTGTTGTCTACCAGCTCCATCACAGGCTAAGTCCCTACCTGCACACAGACTGTGCTACATGCTATGGTTATCTCCCGCTTGGATTGCTACAATGCGCTCTAGGTGGGGCTGCCTTTGAAGGTGACTCGGAAACTACAATTAACCCAGAAAGCAGCAGCTCAACTGGTGACTGGGAGCAGTTGCCAGGAGTTTATAACACCGGTCTTAAAGGATCTACATTGGCTCAGAGTATGTTTCCAAGCACAATTCAAAGTCTTGGTGCTGACCTTTAAAGCTCTAAACGGCCTCGGCCCTGTAGACCTGAATGAGCATCTCCCCCTCCATCGTTCTGCTCGGACACTGAGGTCCAACTCTGAGGGTCATCTGCTGGTTTCGTCACAGTAAGAAGTGAAGTAGTGGAACCAGCCCTGTGGAACACCCTCCCTTCAGATGTCAAGGAGATAAAGAACCACGTAGCTTTTAGAAGACATCTGAAGGCAGCCCTGTATTGGGAAGTTTTTAATGTTTGATGTTTTCCCTTAATTTTAGCAGGTGATGACCAGGGCAATAATGGTTCTCGGGGCTCATCAGAAAGAAATAAGCATGAAGCGAAGAGAACAAATGATAGCCCTTCGTGTGGCAAAACGTTCAAAGGTAAATCGAGCCTCAGCCCACACTGCAGAATCCACTCCGAGGAGACACTGTGTAAATGCTTGGTGTGTGGAAAGAGCTTCAATGACCGCTCAGGCCTAAAATCACATCAAAGAATTCACGCAGGACAAGAATCATACCAATGCCTAGAATGTGGAAAGAGTTTCAAGCGCCACTCAAACCTTACAACACATCAGGTAGTCCACAGCAGGGAGAAACCACATAGGTGCTCTGAGTGTGGAAAGAGCTTCAGTCGCAGGAGAAACCTTACAGAACATCAAAAACTTCACACAGGGGAGAAACCGTATACCTGTTTTGAGTGTGGAAAAAGCTTCACTTGCAGCTCAGGCCTTGTATATCATCAAAAAATTCATACAGGGGAGAAACCGTATACCTGTTTTGAATGTGGAAAGAGCTTCACTTGCAGCTCAGGCCTTGTATATCATCAAAAAATTCATACAGGGGAGAAACCGTATACCTGTTTTGAATGTGGAAAGAGCTTCTCTCATAGCCAAGGTCTTCTTGTTCATCAAAAAATCCACACAGGAGAGAAGCCGTATAAATGTTTGGAGTGCGGAATGAGCTTCGGTTATAACTCAGGCCTTACATCGCATCAAAGAATTCACACTGGGGAGAAATCTTATAAATGTTCGGAGTGCGGAAGGAGCTTTGCTCACAGTGCTAGCCTTACTTCACATAAGAGAACCCACACAGGGGAGAAACCATATAAATGCTTGGAGTGTGGAAAGACCTTCAGTCAGAGTTCACACCTTAGTTCACATAAGAGAACTCACACTGGTGAGAAGCCGTATAAATGCTTTGAGTGTGGGAAGAGCTTCAGTCAGAGTTCACACCTTACTGTGCATGAGCGAATCCATACAGGGGAAAAACCATATATATGTGTGACATGTGGAAAGAGCTTTAGTGATTGCACATACCTTGTTAGCCATCACAAAATCCATACAGGAGAGAAGCCATATAAGTGCTTTGAGTGTGGAAAGAGCTTCGCTCAAAGCTCAAGCCTTCAGATACATCAAAAAATTCACAGAGGTGAAAAACCGTATGCATGTTTTGAGTGTGGTAAGAGCTTCACTCAAAGCTCAAGCCTTAGATCTCATCAAAGAGTTCACACAGGGGTGAAACCATATATATGTTTGGAGTGTGGAAAGAGATTTGCACATGGATATGGCCTTACTTCTCATAAAAGAACACACACAGGGGAGAAACCATATAAATGTTTGGAGTGTGGAAAGAGATTTGCTCACAGTGCTAACCTTACTTCTCATAAAAGAACTCACATGGGATAAACCATATATATACTTGGAATGTGGGAAAAGATTTGGTCAGATTTCACGACTCATTTTGCATAAGCGAATCAAGAGGGGGGAAGTATTTAGATTCTTGTAAAGAGGAAAGCAGTTTAATTAGAGCACTGCTAATTTGGAAGATATAGGTTTATTGGATTTGGAGGGACATAATAACCGTTGGGGTTAGCACGCTTATTGAATTTATGGGAAGGCAAAAATACACAGATTTCTCAAATCATATTATAAGGAGATCACTTCTTAAAGTTTGGGAGAAATACAAAGATTGGTTGGAGCCTAAAATCCCGTGGTGGGCCTCTCCAAGCAGAGGCCACAGTGGTGAAGGAAAAAAATACGTTGTGAAATTGGCCTACTTATAAAATAATTTTAAAAGAAGATAACCAACTGAAACTTAAAAGTTTTGAGGAATTAAGAGATATTATTACAGATTGGTTCCAATATTATCCAATATTCGAAAAATTTAAAGTAGAAAAAAAGAGTTCACCAAGGAAACCTCGAGTTTTGAATCCAATGTAATAAACTCAAAAAGTAAAACTCTCTCTAAAGCTTATCATCTCCTCCACTGGGAAGTCGAGGAGGAAGAAGTTACATCAGCCGTGATAAAGTGGTCTCACAACTTTGGGTATGTTATAACAATGTCCCAATGGGAAAATCTGTGGAAGAATAATTGGAAATTTACCACGTGCTATGCCATAAGGGAAAACCTTTTTAAAATGCAGCACCGGTGGTATTTAACTCCATGGAAATTAGCCAAAATGTACAAAGGAGCCAAAGGTAACTGTTGGAGATGTGGAGATCAAACAGGCTCACTGTATCATATATGGTGGCAATGTAGCAAAATAAAGAAATTTTGGGAGGAAATCCATTCAGAATTAGAAAAAAATGTTAAGAATTTCCTTTACAGTGGGATCTTGGGTTAAGAACTTAATTTGTTCTGGAGGTCCGTTCTTAACCTGAAATTGTTCATAACCCGAGGTACCACTTTAGCTAATGTGGCCTCCCGCTGCTGCCGTGCTATTTCTGTTCTCACCCTGAGACAAAGTTTCTTAACCCAAGGTACTATTTCTGGGTTAACTGAGTCTGTAACCTGAAGCGTCTGTAACCTGAGGTACCACTGTAATAAAAAAGCCAGAGGCATATCTGTTGGGGATCACGGACTCAGATATTCAAAAAAATATTAAAGGTATTTTTTTGTATGCAACGGTGGCACCGAGAGTCCTCATAGCCATCAAGGTGGAAAAGCGACATAATTATTTCCAGACAGGAGTGGATTCAAAAATTGACTGAATATGCTGAATTAGATAGCTTATCAGGAAAAATAAACTGAGAGCTGAATTTGTATCAAAATGGGAGGCCTGTAGAATATATCTTAAACAAAACTATACCATGTTAAACGCTGTAGCTTCTTTTGAGAGATCTCAGCAGTCTTTATTAATTGCTTATATAAATATTACTAAACTGTGTAAAAATAATATAAAAAATAGTATTTTGGTATGGCAGTAAAGTTATAGAGAAAGAACAAAGGAATAAATGGGAGGTTGGGTTTAATGATAATGAGATTTTTTTAATGTAACATGAAATTGCAATCTCAAATTTATGTCATATTCTCTACCTTAATAATAACAATAGATAGTGTAAGTTTTCTTTTCCTCCCCCCCTTCTTAATTTGTACTCTTTATCGGTATTGCCTTTTTGTAATATTTTTCTCCAGTTATGTAATAAGCATGGAAAATATAATAACTTTTTTAAAAATAATAATAATAATTGGAGCACCGCTGTTGTGAAATCAGTGGTGTGGAGAGCTTCTTTCATTTCTTTCATTTAAATCCACGTAAATACAGAGATTACAATTACTTCCTGGTGTTTTTCCTACATTGCAGGGGTTGGACTAGATCAGGGATTATTGACCTGGTTCCTACCGCCCACTAGTGGGCATTTCAGGATTCTAACTGGGCGGTAGGGGGTTCTGAATCCTCCTTCCATCAAGTCCTGGTGGACGGTAAGGAAATTTTACCATCAAGAAAGATGCATTAGTGGGCGTTAAGTATAAAAAGGTTGACTACCCCTGGACTGGGACGCGGGTGGTGCTGTGGTCTAATCCACAGAGCCTAGGGCTTTCCTATCAGAAGGTCGGTGGTTCGAATCGCCGCAACAGGGTGAGCTGCCATTGCTCGGTCCCTGCTCCTGCCAACCTAGCAGTTCGAAAGCACATCAAAGTGCAAGTAGATAAATAGGTACCGCTCTGGTGGGAAGGTAAACGGCGTTTCCATGCGCTGCTCTGGTTTGCCAGAAGCGGCTTAATCATGCTTAATCATGCTGGCCACATGACCTGGAAGCTAGATGTACGCTGGCTCCCTTGGGCAGTAAAGCGAGATGAGCGCCGCAACCCCAGAGTCATCCGCGACTGGACCTAATGGTCAGGGGTCCCTTTACCCCTGGACTAGATGATTCTTGTGGTTCCTTCCAACCCTACATTTGTATTATTCTTTGACCTCGAGTTTCCGGTTCTGGTCTTGCACCATGGTGGCAGCTCCCTCGACATTGGAGGGAGGCACAAATGAAAGGGTAGGGAACAAAAGGGTTTAAACATTCCTGGAAACCTCCTGGGGTACGAGGGAGCAGGCTGACGCCCGGTCGCCTCAACAGCTCACTCCCATGCAGATCAGCATGGGGGCAGATGGAGGAGTTGGGTCACCACCTTTGCCATGATGCAACCCCCTTGGACCGCCATCAAAAGTGGAGGTTCTCCTTATAATTGGATTTTAATTGGCATTAAGTAATGGCGTGCACTGGAGGAGATGTGGACACTAGAACTTTGCACTATCCAGCTGCATGTTATTGGAAGTCCCTAAGTTTATGATTTGGCAAGCCTCTCCAAACACAAAGTTTGTAGAGTTACAAGTGTGGATGGTTCGATGTACTGTGTACTTTGACATTTAAAAAAAGATTTAAAGCTGTGTGTGGTTTGAAAGGAGTCAAGGGGGGGAGAACCTTGTTGTTTTGACCGATGCCATTGGGAAACTAGAGCTTAACCCCACCTCCACCAAAAAAAGAGTGTGGGTTTAAGAAGGTGTTGACATACAACCTATTTTTAAGAGGAAGGACATTGACTAAACAGGAAAATGCTACCTTGGAGGCGAGAGGAATTTCACTAGGGCACGTGAAAAGCAGTGGTCCCCGAATGCTTGGAGAGAAAAACTCTTCTAAGATGAAGAAAATGGTGAATGTTTGAAAGTTGATTCGTCCAACCAACTGAAAGGAGAGGACTGTTGTTTATCTGGAAGTGGGATGGAGGGGGAGCTGAGTTGAGGAGGACTTAATCTTGTGACTTCAGGTCCGCCCTGAAACACGCTGGAACGACAACATTGGGAAATATAGACGCACATTTACTCTTGCAAGATCGAATATATTGCCTTCTAGAATCATAGAATCATAGAGTTGGAAGAGACGACAAGGGCCATCGAGTCCAACCCCCTGCCAAGCAGGAAACACCATCAGAGCACTCCTGACATATGGTTGTCAAGCCTCTGCTTAAAGACCTCCAAAGTAGGAGACTCCACCACACTCCTTGGCAGCAAATTCCACTGTCGAACAGCTCTTACTGTCAGGAAGTTCTTCCTAATGTTTAGGTGGAATCTTCTTTCTTGTAGTTTGGATCCATTGCTCCGTGTCCGCTTCTCTGGAGCAGCAGAAAACAACCTTTCTCCCTCCTCTATGTGACATCCTTTTATATATTTGAACATGGCTATCATATCACCCCTTAACCTCCTCTTCTCCAGGCTAAACATGCCCAGCTCCCTTAGCCGTTCCTCATAAGGCATCGTTTCCAGGCCTTTGACCATTTTGGTTGCCCTCCTCTGGACACGTTCCAGTTTGTCAGTGTCCTTCTTGAACTGTGGTGCCCAGAACTGGACACAGTACTCCAGGTGTGGTCTGACCAGAGCAGAATACAGTGGCACTATTACTTCCCTTGATCTAGATGCTATACTCCTATTGATGAGGCCCAGAATTGCATTGGCTTTTTTAGCTGCCGCGTCACACTGTTGGCTCATGTCAAGTTTGTGGTCAACCAAGACTCCTAGATCCTTTTCACATGTACTGCTCTCAAGCCAGGTGTCACCCATCTTGTATTTGTACCTCTCATTTTTTTTGCCCAAGTGCAATACTTTACATTTCTCCCTGTTAAAATTCATCTTGTTTGTTTTTGCCCAGTTAAAAACAACTGTTGTACTTGAGGGACAATTCCAACAAATTCCACACGAAAAACAGTTATGTCCCTGTGGAGATGGCAGTACCGAATCAGTGGCGCATGTCCTTCTGGTTTGCGCTCTTTATAAAGATTTGAAGAGTGAGTTTATCACCCCTATTTTATTTTCCATTCCGGGTCACCCATTCCGGGTCATAGTGTCCTTTCTCTCAGCAGACTAAGATGAGCAGGTGACAGCAAAGGTTGCAAGGTTTTTAGCCAGGGCAATTCAAATAAGATCTGCTATTTGACTATTGATTCAAAGCCTCAGAGTGTATTTATATAATTGCCTTTTTATCTTTATTCTTTGTATATCATACTGTTTGTTTTATTGCTTATGGCTGGTGGCTGATGCAAATAAAGATCCATTCATTCATCAATTCAATGAATTGGAAAAAATTCTTGAATACACCTTTGTTAAAAAACCCGAAGCCTTCCTTCTGGGAATGATTGGAGACGAGATTAAGAAAGAAGATCATATAATGTTTCAATATGCAACTGTAGCTGCCAGAATCCTGTTAGCACAAAATTGG